GACCGTTTGGGTGTGGAGTCCCACATATGCTAATTAAGGGGTTGATCATGAGTTTACAAGTAACATCTCCATTGTTATGATCATTTAGGGTTTAGGGTTTAAGGTTTTGGGAAACCAAAAGCAAAGTCATGAGAGCTATGCTCAAAGTGAATAATAATATAATATCATTATGGAGAGTCGTAGTTCCTAGTTAGGTTCATATTAATAAGAACAACGGCTTCTTTTGAAATCAAAAGCAAAATCTCGAGAATTATCGGACCGTTATCGTGTCCATTATCTTGTTAACAACTCTAAGTTGTAATCAATGAACATGCCTTCACTCAACATTGATGGGAACTATTTCTGCTTGGTCCACCAATAGTATATCCAAGGTGTGTAATGCACAATTCCAAAGGTGAACTGAAATAATAGAGAAAGCTTCCTAAATGACTGTTTTGCTAAACTCGATGGAATGGAAGGCCACCAATAATTCACAAAAGGAACTATCAGGGAAGCTCCTAGGAGTCTGTAAATTATATAACCAATTAGCTCACCCAAAAACAATAATTCATAATCATTTTGAAAACAACAAATTAAAATACGTGTGTGGAATGTATTTTAGATAGCTTCAAATCGGGTACACTCCCAATGAACAAGTAAAATTTGCTCCCAAGCTCCAATTTATCGGCTAATTCTTTGATGTCAAATGCTTCCGTCTTTGTCGAGCGTGATGGATATGGATCACTCTCTCCGTAACCAGCTCTGTCATGTAACATTATGCATGCGTTGTGCTTCTCCATAAGTTCTTATAACAGATTGAATACAATTTTTTAAAAAAAGAATGAAAGTTGAAGAAGATGAAGAACAATGTGGTACTTGAGAAGTAGGTAAGTGCATATGTCGGGAGTCATTATAGCCATGAGAAAGAACGATCTTGTATTTGCGCCTTTTCCTCGGGAACTCCAAATTCTTGGTAGGCCAAATGTCTTCCATCATCGAGTTTCACTCTACAATAAGTAAGTGGAGGACCATTTGGTGATCCACATATCCTTAGGGTGGTGGTTTCAGTGCTTGATAAACCCATCCAACGAAACCGACGGCAAAAGCTACAACTATTGGTGTAATCATTATCTGAAAGAAAAAAAAAATTACTTTCATGTATTCTACACTAGATAAGAAGAGTAGTATAATAATGTCAAACAAATAGATATGACTACTTAAGAGGAAATTCAATGTGTACTTCGTTCGAGGACTCTAGAGAAGAATATGTCTTCAATATTTTCTTGGATTGTTTGAAAATCGTTTAAGTCCAACATTGATTAATTAAGGAGAAGTTCATTAAGAAACCCTATCTCCATTAACATATCATGTTTATAACAACGACCTATAATCGAGAAACTCAGACAACTTAAATAACCAAAAGAAGAAAATGAATAAGATTAAAAAAGAATAAAAGGAGGGAATTGAAACGCACCAGAACGAAGTGAGGACCGTGGAAGGGCAGCGTGGATCTGTGTGGAGTGACAACCAATGGTTTGGTTCCTTTATAGCCTGAATGGGATAACCCATATCATATTCTCCATTCATTATCAAGAACTCAATAGCAAATCCTAATAAAGGCAATTCCATGTATGCGACTTTAAGAGAGTAAAGTATATACTAAAAGTATTTAAGCAATTAGTTACGTATTTATGCAAACAATTTACATATTTCTTTCCTCCAAGTGTTGTTTTCGTTACTTGCGTTGGCATTTGCCATTTATAGAAAGGGAAAACAACATTTATTCTGCATGTAACACATTTTTTGAAATTGGATTGGTATGTGATTTGTACATATATTTCAACATGACCTTCAATTACGATCCATTGAAGATAAGAATTGGAAAAGTAATGAGAACATTGAATTCAATAATAAATCATTCAAGATAAGTGTAATACTTCGAAAAAAAAACAAAAAAGTTGAAAATTTGAGGGGTTTCATTGGTCGGTCATTAGAGCGATCGCTCCAGAAGAGTTGTTTTAATTCTACTTCCACAGAAAACCCAAAATATAGACCAAGTTTGACATAAATGTTTGGTTGTTCTTGATTGTAATGTTTGACGGCCACGCAGTGTCTTCGACGTCGATTTCCGACGAGCACACAGTGATCCCAACGTCGACAACCTTACTTCTACTCGGTTCTTCCTCCGGAAACAGCAATTCTAACGTTCCAAGAAACCCTCCAAAATACCGAATGAATCAACCCACTCGATTTACTTGTAAGGTGCTTTTGGTACTACCCTAGAAACTTAAAATAATGCAAAATTAAGTAAAAATGTAAGGATTAGCCAAAGACCACAAATTAAGAACCTAAACCAAATGTTTTTCTCGAGAATCCCAAGTTATAAAATTAACTCACTAAATGTCATTCCCTGAATATGAAATTTTAATGGATGCCTAATACCATAAATAAGAGTGTATGCAAAGTTTTACATACATAGGAGCATATCTAAGCCCTAAACCAAAGTTAAGGGGAAAATGACCAAAATGCCTCAATGATGAGGGTACGTTCATGACCAAGATGGACTCCAAATTACTAAAAAAATTATAGGAGCCCTATTTATAAGATTATGGATGACTTCACTTCATTTGCATAGATTAAGACTCGGATAGAAAAAATCAAAATATCTCTACTATGTCCTTATAATATTTCGACATAAAACTTTACCTTAAACCAATATTAGAGTAGAAAATAACAAAAAAATAATAATAATAAAAAAATAAAAAAACCTAATGAACCTCGTATAAAAATTCATAGTTGTGACGAATTCCAACTGACATTATATTTTTCATGACACTCATTCAATATGGATTTATAATGTGTCTCTAGGGTTAAGAACCAAATAAAGTAGGCGGTTGGATCGGTATGGCAACTCTAGAGGAGGTAAATAGGGTTTTAACGTTAAAAGTGTTTAAACGTAATTAATTTTTCTAATGATGAAACTTTTACAAATAAGTAGAAGATGATAATTACTCGAATAAAATAATTCAAGTAAAAACAATAATCAAGTAGAGCATGCAATAAATCACAATAATAATTTTAAAATTAAATGGAAAGAGTTGGAGAAAATGACACCGTAATTTTATAGTGGTTCGGTCAAACTCAACCTACTCCACTCCCCAAGCGCCTCTTGGGAATTTGAATAAAGAACTTTATCGACTCTTTCCACAAATCAGAGTCAAACCGCTACATCGCTTTTTTTACGAGTTCAAGAGCAAACTCAATTCTTTCCACGGCGCAGGATCAAACCGATACAAGTATTTGAATTTGATAGTAACACATCACATCTCTCTCAAAGAGTAGATTTACAATTTGAAACACTCACAACTATTTCCTCATAATACAATAATAATCCCTCTCAAGAATATGATGAAGAGAAATAAACTTGTAAGCTTGGAGAGAGCAACAAACCGTGGAGATTTTGAACAAATGAGGATTGGAAAATTTATGGAAGATTTGTATATAAAATGTGGGGGAGTTGATGAGTTTATATAGAGAAAAAAAAAAGTGACAAAAATGTAGGAATTAATATTGATCATTGGATTGTGTTAGGAATAATGGAAGGTGGAGATTAAAAGTAAATAAATAAGAAAATTTTCCAAATTCATTTATTTAAATTTTAATATAATAATGATAAGTTATGTGAGTACGGTCAAATGAAAATTCAAAATTTATTATAAATATAATAATATAATAATAATAAAAATCAACTTGAGTAATGTTGATTCAAATTTATATTTTGTAAAAATAATTTTATTTAGAAATATAATAATAAGAAAAACTACACCATTTGTTACTCTTCCAAAATTATAAATGTCATACTTTGATATATTTTGATTTGTCATCATTTTGATTTTGTTGTCACATCATCACATCGGGTATGTTGTCTCAACTGTAATTTCTTCGTTTTAGCTCTGATTTGAGTAATTGAAAAGTCGTTGAAATCGTTATTCCCGACCTTATACTGTAGACAATTCAAAATAATGAAAATAGTTAATAATTAAAAGTAGGTTTGTTATCATCAAAACATCAATTAATTGATTGAAATTAATTAAAGTGAGATCAAGGGCTAAAAAGGCAACATAGGCTAGTTCCTAAAAATGCACAACCCGTACCACTCTATCCAAACCTGTCTTATGTCCTAAGTCCGTAAATGTAATAACAAAAACAAACAAATAAAAAAAAATAGAAAACAAAATAGGAAAATGAAAATTTTGTCTCATATTACTTAAAAGCAGAGAGGGTTGGTCTATGTATAAAAGGGAGGTCCCTCACTTCATTTTATTATCTCATTTCAACCGTTTGAACCCAGTCAGAGAATACATTGTCTGACATCTCTAGATTAACATTTTATTAGGTTTAGTTAGTTTATATTATATTAGGTGAGCTAATTCACATAGTAGAATGTCAATCTACCATGTGGATAGAAGCTAGCATCAAAGCGTCGTAGTAGCTTCGGCCGAAGCCAACCAAGTTAGTAGCCCTACAATGAGTTTGGTTATAATTGTATGCTGAATGATGTAAGCTAATCATGTAAGTGATATTACCATCGACATACTTATATTTGATGTTGACGTATACTTCGTGGTTTTGCACGTGTCATAAATTTAACGTGTGAATTGTTTATGAATCGATATGACTATAATATGTTGTGTATGCATTATGATATGTGAATGATATGATAAATCTTACGTTATAATGTGTTCAATGATATGTTTAAGATAAGACATAAGAAGGATGCGATAAACGTAATATAATGATATGACTAAGATATGATTGATATAACGACATGGTTCTGTTATGTATAAAAAAGAATATGATTATGATAGATTGATAGAACGATATGGTTAGGAAACGTTCTTGTAAGAACATGCCTAATTGAAAAATTTAGTATCACCTAAGTTTTGGATCAAACTCAAACTCAAATTCTTGTTTACCAACCATATTTTTCAAAATTAAGGTTTCTATTAGCCTTAGGAAAATAAATTAAACATATATGATGAAAGGCACGAGGGCTAATTCGTCTGAAATAAAGCTGCCTAGAAGGATCAAACTCTACGTTTGAAATTGGCCACATCCACGCCAAGTCGTATTTTCAAGTTTATTCCTCTAGTTTGAGAGGAATATAAGGAGAAATACATCTAGATATGGAGGTCGTTACATTAAACCTACGAAATTTTCCCAGCTAAAAGTGACCTCATTATGGCTTCAAAGTTTTCAGGGTCATGGATTAATAAATGGCCAGCATTAGGAACCTCATGATACCCAATCCATGGAAGTTTCTGTACTACATAATGATTAAGTTCATTTTGGATGACACGGTCGGCACTACCTTGCCATAAATGAACAGACCCTTCCTTGAATTGATTGGTCAATTCCATGGGATCGAAGTCCCAGTTTGCATAAGCAACCAGAACATCTCGGTGAAGAGATTCATATTCACCTTGTTGTGTTATTTTTCCCTGAAAATGGTTGCACCACAAATGTTAGAACATACAAATATGAACTAGCTTAAACATATGTTCTCCATAAAAAGCCTTTTTGAGAATACGTCTTACTGCTAATGTCGGATAGTTAACGATAGCTCTGATGGATAGGTTTGTTAGAATATGTAATAATGAGGTCACTATTTTAGTAAATGATGTGGAGAAGGGTAGTGACATTGATGTTGAGGATGGTTGGGAGAGTAGTCTCACATCGGGTAATTAAGGGGTTGATCATGTGGAGAAGGGTAGTGACATTGATGTGGAGAAGGGTAGTGACATTGATGTGGAGAAGGCCTGAGGTGTTTTGGAAAAACCAAAAGCAAAACCACAAGAGCTTAGGATCAAAGTGGACAATATCATAGCATTGAGAAAAATCATGATTCCTAACGTGGTATTAGAGTCATGTACTTAACTTAGTCATGTCAATAGAATTCTCAAATGACGAACAAAGAAGTTGTGAACCTTGAATGTGAAGTCAAAAGTGACTAAAGTGTCGAACAAAGGATGTATTTTGTTCGAGGGCTCCAAAGAAGGAGTAGAACCTCAATTAAGGGAAAGTTATTCGAGGGCTTCATAGGACTCCGAGGAGGCTTTATGGTGTACTTTGTTCGAGTGGAGGATTATTGAGAATCATTGGGAGAGGAGTCCCACCTCGGCTAATTAAGGGGTTGATCATGGATTTATAAGTAAATAATACGTCTTCATTGGTATGAGGCCTTTTGGGGAAAACAAAAGGAAAGCTACGAGAGCTTATGCTAAAAGTGGACAATATCATACCATTATAGAGAGTCATAGTTCTTAATTAAGTTCATATTAGCAAGAACAACGGCTTCTTTTGAAACCAAAAGCAAAAACGCGAGAATTACCTGACCGTTATTTGGAGTGTCCATTATCTTCTTTAACAACTTTAAATCGTAATCAATGAACATGCCTTCCCTCAACATTGATGGGAACCATTTCTGCTTGGTCCACCAATAGTATATCCAAGGTGTGTAATGCGCAATTCCAAATGTGAACTGGAATAATAGAGGAAGCTTCCTATATGACTGTTTTGCTAAAGCCAATGGAATGGAAGGCCACCAATAATTCACGAAAGGAACTATCAGGGAAGCTCCTAGGAGTCTGCAAATTATATAACCAATTAGCTCACCCAAAAACAATAATTCATGATCATTTTAAAAACAACAAATTAAAATACCTGTGTGGAATGTATTTTAGACAGTTCCAAACCGGGTACGCTCCCAATGAACATCCGATTACGTAAAATTTGCTACCGAGCTCTAATTTATTAGCTAATTCTTCAATGTCAAATGCTTCGGTCTTTGCGGAGCGTGATGGATATGGATCGCTCTCTCCATAACCAGCTCGGTCGTATAATATTATGCATGCATTGAGCTCCTCCATAAGTTCCTATAACACAACATGATTGAAAACAATTTTTTTAAAAGAAAGAATGAAAGTTGAAGAAGAATAAGAAGAATGTCGTACTTGAGAAGCAGCTAAGTACATATGTCGGGAGTCATTATAGCCATGAGAAAGAATGATCTTGTGTTGAGCCTTTTCCTTAGGAACTCCGAATTCTCTGTAGGCCAAATGTCTTCCATCATTGAGTTTTACTCTACGCGAAGTCAGTGGAGGACCATTTGGTGATCCACATATCTTTGGAGGTGGCGGTTTCAGTGCTCGATAAACCCATCCAACTAAACCGGCTGCAAATGCTACTACTATTGGTATAATCATTATCTTTTTTTTTTATAAAAAAAAAAAATGAGTCTTACGTTAGCTAATTAAGAAAAAGATCATGAATATACAAGTAAAGATTGCTATCTCCATTGACATGAATTTTGGAAAAACTAAAAGCAAAACTATCGAGAGTTTATGCTCAAAGTAGATATTCCTATTAGTGGTATCAGATCCATGGCCTTATCTTAAATAAGTCATGTCAAGAAAATTCTCGTGTCGAACAAAAAAGTTGTGTCTTATACCAATGTGAACGTTGGTTGTTCCTATTAGTGGTATCAGATCCATGACCATATTTTAAATAAATCATGTCAAGAAAATTCTCAAATGTCGAACAAAAAAGTTAAGAGTTTTAAAAGTTTAGTCATATTGACTTAGGTGTCAAACACAAAAGTTTTGAGCCTTGAAAGTGCAGTCATAGTAAAGATATGTAGTACTCTAGTTATGACTGTTTAAGAGGAGGCTCAATGTGTACTTTGTTCGAGGGCTCTAGAGAAGAACGAGTCTTCAAGGGAGACTCAAGGGAGACTCGATAGTGTACTTAGTTCGTGGAAGGATTGTTTAAAAATTGTTGGACTCTTAATCAAGGAGAAGAGCATTAGTATATAAGTAAAAAACAATATCTCTATTAGTATGAGTTTTACTCGAGAATACTAAAAATAAAGCTATGAAAACTTCTCGAACAATAGCATGTTTAATAGTAAACACAGAATCTCCTATATACAATAGCATGTTTAATAGCATATTTAGTTTATGATTATACTCTACTTAATCATTTTTCATATTGTTTAACAAAAGTAGCTTTTCACTTGCTGAAAAATGTAAAATGCTGCAAAGTACCGAAAGAAAACACTTACAGGGAAACTTAGAGTTATCTCTAGATAAACATAGTGTTACGGTCATGTTTGTCTAAGGCGTGTTGCCTCAAACTCTCGCCTTGTACTACTTTTTCGTTGTCCTCTACTACTTTCATGTTGATAATTTCCTTCTTGTTTTTTCTATGAGTATGACGTTTCATCATATCTACGCCTAATAGATATGAAATTCTCCCTAATGTACTATAGGGAGACGTGACTAGTTGTTAAATTCTCCCTACCTGAAAAGTTATATACTACGTAAGTCGTTGTTGTTTTTTTTACTTGTACGCTATATAACAGTGTTTTGAATCTCTCTCTCAACCTTGCTTTCAAATTCACTTCCAAAGTCTCTCTACCTGATTTCTAAAACCTTCTCTCAAATCAAGGCCAAAGGTTCGAGCATACGTTGCCCAGTCATAGGCAATGCGATCCAAAGTTGGCTTGATCACTCAGTGCTAAGAGTGTGCGCCGCACAATCATCAAATTCGCAGTTAAAAAAACGGCGATTGTGACACATAGCAATCTATAATCAAAACTAGAAACTCACAAACTTAACCAGGAAGAAAATGAAAGAGGAGAGAAGATTAAAAAGAAGGGAATTGGAACGCACCAAGATGAAGTGAGGAGAGTGTAGGGGCAGCGCCGATCTGTGTGGAGTGACACCAATGGTTTGGTTCCTTTATAGCCTGAATGGCATAACCCATATATCATATTCTCCATTGATTATCATGAACTGAATAGCAAATCCTAAAAAGGCAATGCCATATATGCTAATTTAACATAGTTGAGTGTTTTGGTTACGTTTACTGAAATTTTGGTTACTTGCGTTGGCATTTTCCATCTATGGAAATAGAAAGTCTATTTTTCGGCATGTAAGACACTTATTGAAATTGGATTGGTAAGTTGCTGTACATTATTTGAACACAACGTTCAATTACAACCCATTGAAGAACCGAATTGGAAAAGTATCGAGAACGTTAAATTCAATCATAAAACATTATCTAGATAAGTATAATTCTATGTCCATAAAAGACCCGAAATATAGACCGAGTTTGACATAAACGCTTGATTGTTCTTGATTGTTATGTCCAAATAAGATTGGAAAAGAAATTAGAAGGAAGAAATTGGGTTTCAACCAATTAAGCTCGAATCAATTCCTACGTATTCATAAATGGATTTCCAACATGTTTCCTTACGATCTTGAAGGCTAAAAATGGCTAAAATATATTCCCAATTCGAGTTTTGATAGCCCTATTCAATGGAAGAAAAGGAAATTCAATTCTTCCCATGAAGTCTTTCCTATTTAGTTATGAAGGTCCAAAGAGGAACTTTGTAGAAGGCCTTGAATAAGTTGAGCTGTCTAGAATTTGAGGAAATTTGATATCGGATAAGTTTTTAGTGAATTGGGGGAGGATTCAAAATTCTTCATCTACATTCAAGTCCATTTCTATAGTTTCGTGGTGATTGATCACATGTATATATCACAAGTAGCAAGTAATAAGTAAATTATCGATTCCATAAAAAATTTATCTTTTTGTTAATTTCATCCTTGGAAATTAAGTAAATTTTTTTGGTAACATTCAAATGGGTGTTGGTGATTTTAACTAATTAACCAAAACTAATGCAGAGTGTCACTAATGTCGAATAACAAGAAAATGATGAGAAAATCAACTATAATGATAAGGTTCGACCAAGAAAGATTAAATAGATAAGTGTTGAGTTTTGTGGTAGATTTTGATTCCTTTGAATAGATTTCCAAGCCCACTTCTGAGTGCATGATAATTATGTCCATAATCTAATTTTTATTAACAAGGCTCTCGCACAAAAATTATTCATAACCCTTCTATTACCCTTCAAGTCTCCTTGCAATAGAAAGAGTATTAAAGAGAATTTCATTGCTCCCTCTCTTCTCCCAGAGAGAACAACTATTAGGTAAAGTAGCTAATTAAACACACATGTAAATTATTAACAACAACTCTTTAATAAACTAAAATCATACCATCAATCTACTTAAATTGTATAAAATTCTCTCGCCTCCCCTATAAAGTTTAGCTCTCCATGCAAACTGAATTAAACAGGGAACCCACGTCTTAATCATATAAAATTGATAGAATAAGAAAAGAGAGTAAGGAAATAGAGAGTTATCCAGTTTTGTTGTCGTTCTTCAATGGAAGTTCTCTTCCCTTGAGCTCTCACGTCCACCTCTTTGCCCTAATCTATTCTTCTTGGTCTTCTCTTCCTTCTGCTGTCAAGTGGCTGGATTAGGGCAGCAGAGACAGAGACTCTGCTGTCTAATCCGATTTTTTTCTCCAAAGTGTGTGCCCCTCCTCTTGGTCTTCTTTTTTCTTTTATATATTAAGCATGATCTCCACTTATGGAATAAGTTATCCACATAGGATGTTCCTCATTGGTTAGTCAATAACCCACTTGGACTACTGATGTGGATTTAAAATTTTCATGTTATCTACGGTTTGTTTCCAGATTTGCTACTCCCTCATGGTTTAGCATAAATGTCTGAAATTTTACCACATAACTCATTAATTGTAAAACTATGATCGATTTATGTCAAATCATATTTTTTTCATGTTGGACCACAATAAACGATTTCATGTAAGTAGAATAAATGAAGTAATACATGAGAAAATGGTGAATAAGAGTACCATATTAATTCAAAAAAAAAAAAAAAAAAACTCAATATCACTCTAATTTTAGA